ATCAACGTCCGGCTACACATATGTCACATGTACTTGTTTCACTGAGCGACTAACTTCAACAAAAAAGGCACATACCTGCCCTTTGTTTTATCTGTGTATGTTGTATAGGTTTAAATGCCGATTTCCCGGAATCGAGAGTAGCACACGGGCTCACGCGATCTTCCGGTCCAACACAGCTGAGCACATCCGTCGGTTTCTTCTTCTTCTTATTCTCTATTCATCCGACAATGCACACGTTGCCTACATGCTCCTCCGAGGTAGAGCCTCCCAAAGAAGTAACGTCACGCGAGCTGTACTAAAGAAACGCGCGTGTGCTCACGTATATATACAGAATGTTATAGTGTTGGAGGGGAACAACGAGTCTTACTGCAGCGGGAGGGAAGCTTCCGGACTCTTGTACACCCTATATGTATATGTATTCATTCGTCGTACTTATGTGCCGCGATCCTTTTGTGCACCCATGTACCACTTATTGCTTGTAACGCGTGTATACGTGTATGAGCAAATAGGCGTCTTTTTATTGCAATACCTCATGGGCTCGTGGTTCCTTGGCGTCCTTTGGTTCGCCAGCTCTCGGGCTCAAAGATTCCTGGGCTCGGTCTCTTGGTGTTTTGATGGTATGGCGATGATGCCACCGGAGGCTACAAGTACACACCGACTGAGCTGTTGACGGCTGGAAAAGAGAAAACGACCGCGTGCACCACATCCGTTTCCCAAGTCCCGCGCGTGCGATCCCAAACGTCGCTTCCATCAACCAAAAGAACAAAAAACGATTTGTGTCTCAAAATTTACGGAATAAGAAAAGAAAAAAAAGGGGGGGAGAGGGAAGAAGAGACCATAGCCAATTCCAGTGTCTGTATACGTATACACATAAAACAGAGTTCATCGGGAGGGTCGTGTCGTCCTTTCTTGTGCGAAAGGCCCTCCCCTCCTACTGCGTCGATGAAGAGGGTCAGAGTGGGAGGGGAGGGGGATGAGCGCGCGGAGAGGGTCGTCCCGGAATAAGGGAGGCCCAGTCGGGCCCTGCGGAGCTCAGTTGTCGCGCGGCAGGCCAGTCGAACGGTTCGAGTAGCCAACGAGAGTCATGGGGTCGTTGAACGCCGCTCTCCGGTGAGTTCTTTACTTTTCTCGTTTTAATTTTTCTCAACCCCCTCTATACCCCTCTACCCCATACTTCGATCGTGGGACGGTTTTTCTTTTTCTTTGCCGAGTTTTTGTCGTCGTCGATTTTTATATATTTATTTTTTCATAAGCAGGCCAGTTTTAAAAAAAAAAAGGGGGGGGGGTACTGCCCGAAGGCGATGAAAAAACGTTGAGTTTTGTAGGTATTATCGTAGATGGGAAGTGTGTGCCCAAGGGGCGGTAAACTGATCCCTCATACGAACTGGGGGTGGATGCACACAACGTAATTTTGCATCGAAAGTTTTTTTCTTTTCTTCGTTTTTCCCTAATATTCGATCCTCGCCATGTATCGGAAATCACGAGCTCGAATGAAATGAAATCAGCACGAGGGCGATGAGTTTGTATGTTACGCGTATACGATCCCACGAGGCTGTTACTTTACACACATTGAGAAGCGTGGTAACGGGTGATCTTCGTAGAGAACAATATCGGAAGCGCCGTGTGTGCAGCCCCGAGCCAGGTGAGACTCATTCCGAGGGGAGATTCTTTTTCTCACGATGTATACATATATACATATATAAATACAGAAGAGGAGGCAGGGTAACGGAGAAGAGGGTGTCTCTTCGAGGCTGTGGGAACGCGAGCGCGCGCATCTGGAGGGCTGTCGGAAGTTTGAAAATATCCTACCCCATTATTCTTCTTCTGCTTGAATTTTTTTTTTTTTTTTTTTCTGGCGAGTGCTTTGCCGCGATTTTGTTCCCGTAGAGGGAAAAATACATGGTTTATATCGTACATCACGCGTTATTTTCGAGGGTAGTAAAATGTACTTGTGCGTAACCCAATTGCTCGATCTTGCGTGATTCGTTAACGTGCGATGAATTTTCATACGCGATAAGTGGTGTCTTTTAATTGAATCGCAAAACAAAAAATTTGCCTCATTTTTTCAAGAAATTTTTTCCGTGCAATCAACGTGCGGCGCATAAAATAAGAACAACACGATCGACGTCTCGCTTGTTTTTCCCGCTTTATTCGCGGTATCTGGGCTCCCGGTCTCCATTTATCACTATTTATTTTTTATTTTCTTACACAAATTGAAAACTTCTCGTAAACGTAAAATGATGATTTAAAAAAATGAAGAACTTGACAAGTGATTAAAATCACGTTGGTTCCAAGCCATGAAAAATGAAAAATTGTACAAAACAAACAAACGCGACGATAACAAGCGACGACTATGCGCGGGGTACGGCAATGTTGAGCGGCAACGAACCCAGAAAAAGGGCGCCACGCGTCAGGCCGAACAAATAATCACCTTATAAAGATCGCTCGGTCGAATCCTATCGACCCCTCCCCCCCATTCCCTCAACCTTAGTTCTGGTCCTCTTCTTTTTCCCTCCCGTCCACGCGAAAATACGCTCAGGATTTACGAGCTCGGGCATAACAGTTGTACGTATACACTGGCTGTACCCATGCGCGCACTCTTCTTCCCTTCCTTCCTTCCTGTCTGCCCTTTTTTTTTTTTTGAAAGATACGGCTGCAAGCTCTCACCGCGGAAAATCCCTACGTTTTCTCGGAAAATTTTCACGCTTCGGTACATACCTCTCTCTCTCTCGTTCCATCGCAATTTACAAACAATTGGGCGACAATCGATGAACCCGCCACGTGAATTTATCGATTTGGCCCTCCTCCCCAGCTCTTGCGCTTCGTTTTTGTCATTACCGCGAGGAAACACCCGATCAATTTATCCCGGAGCAAAATAGACGGTACACGAGTTGGAACCAATAGAGCTTGCCTCGCCAAGTTAATCTCCGGCGCAACTCCGACTTCTGTAACCCCCCTCCCCCCACCATCCCCATTACCCTTGTTTGCCGTGTGCGCTTCTATCCCGCTGCATGTAATGATAAATTATGTACCCAATGGCGCGTATTCGGCAATCGATTCTATCGGCAACGCCGGAGGGCAGGGTTTCGCCGAAGACCCGAGAACAACAACAAGAAAACCACACATACAGACTGCAGCAACTGTACGAGTGTCTTGTGAATTCGCGTTAAGTAAGTGCATCAGAAAGGGTGGGGGGTGGGGGTGAGAGCCTTCCAAACATCAGTCTTCGTCACGCGAATTTGCTCGACCAGAAAGAGCTAAATGCGTGCGTACTTCGTCAAGTTCAACTTCACTTTTCTATGTATACAATCTGATGGAGTCGATCGATCGATTTTAACGATTTCTGTTATTTTTCCTTGCTGAAACTTCATCTTTGTTTAGTATATATTGAAATAACGCAACGCAGGGATTACTTATTAGTTAGTCGTTTTTCTGACCTCCGAGTGTTTAATAGACTGCTGTCATGGTCGTATAGGACGAGCTTACCTTGCGCTCCTCCGAGCAAACATTACACTGTGGTGCGTGTAACTCACAAGCGTAGATGCTTACTCAAGCTCTCAGCGGATGGTGTATTGAAGGCGGAAAAAAGCTCTCGAGTTTCGTTTGTAGAAAAGCTCTCCGGGACCTGTTTGTCCTGACCCATCCTCGGAGACGCGCTTTTATTATTTTATTGTACTCCGGTTCTACAGTCTCGAGAATCGACCTATCAGCCAGTCGTCAAAGGACTCGATTAGTTGGCTCTCCGGGCGTTTCCGCTTCCGAGAAAGAGCCAATTCAAGCTCGATTCCCTCCTCGTCTACCGCTTCTACACTCGTACGCTCTTTGACGTTACCCCGACTGTTCGCTTGTGCGGATCTACCGCTTTTTTTTTTTAAGTAGGCGGTTTCAAGAGATACCTACATTTGGTCTTTTTTGTTCAAAAAATTACGCAAAGTATCGAGAAATAAGCAGATTGTAGTAATTTCATGTATTCAATAATTACTTACAGGATGATTATATTGCCTACTACAATAAAAATAGTCATATATTTTTTCTCGACAATTTGCGGGAAAATGGGATTCATGGTGACGATTCGTGACTAAAAATGCTAAAGTCTGCAACAACCCTTAACCGAAGTATGACGATGCAGCAAACTTCAACGACAACATTGTATATGTGCTTATTACGTCGTATCAATGGTCATCGCCACACAAACAGTGGGTTACGCACAACACGACACGTGCGCTATTTCTCAAGTACATTATACCAAGTGTTGTACAACCGTCGATCGTGTACCCCCCCGCCCCCAGCCACGAATATTCCATTCCCATGGAAAAAAGCCTCCCGACAGGGTTGCACCCCTCGAGTTATCCATCACAAAGCAGCAAAACCAGTCCACCCGTCAGTCAGTCAGTCTATTCTCTCTGGCGCGCGTCGTTCGTTTTATTTATATTTTTTTTCCTTTTTTTTTTTTTTTTTTTTTTACGTAATAATTAACGGTGGTTTGCTGCGACTTCTGTCCGTGTCTGTCTCCACGGCTGTGTTATTATATTTTTACGCCTCGCGCTGCAAGGGGCTGCGGGAGACCGCATGTCCTTCCTGTCGATCGGGCCCATCTGCTCTCGCTTCCGCCTCCCTCCCCTTTTTTTCCCTCTACGACCAGCAGCTCGTGTGTGTGTGTATGTACGTGGACTCGATCACGTATATGTGTATCTCTGGGTTGTATCGAAAAATTTTTATTCATTGTATTGACTCATCACTCGTCTTTAAGTGACTGCATGGCAAATAATGATTATTCATTTTTTTTTCTTCCGAGAGGAATAGAGAAGTCATCGATCAAGTACCTATGAGTAAAGTTAAAAGGAAATTAACCAACATCGGCTTGTATTTTCCATCTTTTCTTACCCACCTTGTACACGTGCATTTTTTTAATCACCCATATTATATATTATGTATGAGAAAAAAATTTTTGTTTAAATTACAAAATAAAATATTAGAGGCATCAATAATTTGGGAGACAATTGCGTTTGTAAAATTATCGACTACTTTATTATTTTCCATCGTTTATATATATATAAAATTGTACATTACATTCAAACTTAGCGTATTGCTGGCACAATTTTACAATTATTCGACCAGATAGATTTTTCTTGTACTTGGAAAAAAAATAAAAAATAAATTTGAGTGCGTCACTTAACACAAGAATAACACGTCACTTAACATCGTGTATCAACGCGAAATTTCATCGGTTTTTATGTCGTACATACTTACAGCACAGTGTGCAAAAAAATTGCGAAAAAAAGAAACTGTCGAGTAACACGGGATTACGTTAAACACGCAGAGACATCATTAAATACCAGAGAAGAAAAAAAAGCAACCATCAATTTAACGAAACGAGACGTAATATTATCATCGCGCGGGAAAAATCGGGGGGGGGAAAAAAAAAAAAAAATTAAGAAAAAATTAGGTACAAAACCACCGTTTCTCTCTCCCGTAGCGCGTATTCCACAATCGCGCATAAAACCCAATCGGCACGAAAAAAGCAACGAGAGGCTAAAAGGCGAGATAGTAAATAGCCAAGAGAGCAACCGCGCACGCCCCGGCGAAGATGAAAAACGGGAAGCCCGGACCGTCGACGTATTTCTCGTTTTCGGGATTGTTGGTGTTGTACCCTGCCTTCCAGCCCTCCTTGCGAGGCAAGTTCCGCCTCTCCCTCGGCACGATCTCCCCGACCAGGTACTTTTTCATGAGCTCGAGGGCGTCGCTCGAGTGGCCGACGTCGTCAAAGTCCTCGCTCGCGTCCTTGCCCGCGTGGTCCAGGAGGATCTCCTCGCCGCCCGGGTGCTCGTTCAGGAATCTCGTCACGTCGTAGACCCGGTCGTGAATGGCGATGAGGGTACGGGACTCGCTGCACTGCCCGGCTACCTCGGCGAACGTGTACTGCCGCTGCTCCCCGCTCGATGTCGCCTCGTCGCTGCCACTCATGCTTGCTGCAATTTCGTGCGTGCGAGAGTGCGTTTCATCAGGTGTGGGGAACATGAGGATGTGGGTTGTAGATTTTTTATTTTTTATTTTTTTTAATACGTGCAGTGATGTTATTTATATTTATATACGCCCAATTTAAACTTCGCCTATGGTTGATTGATGAACAATTACTAGTCCGAACAGTTTAAACGGGAAAAATCAGTGCGAGAAGGCTCACTTGTTTCTACAAATACAATGTATCGTTTGTGCTCAATTTTTTTTTTTTTTTTTTTTTTTTAATACAGTTTTACAAAGAGCCGTACAATTTACGCGACAGAAATTTTTCCAGCACAAGCCACAATAGATCGCAACTGAAGGAGAATGAAACGTAATAATGCATTAAATCTCAAATAAACATATTTATAACGATATAACGCTTGGAACCAGAGCATTTCAGATAATCGGTGCAGTTTCTGCGCCATTATTTTTTTTTCTCTTAAAAATTATCCACACCGTTCGATAAGTCTGACCGAAATAATGTTGCATAATATGCCACTTAAATTTTTTTATCAAGTACTTATCAACGTTGTTGTGATGTAAACAAGTAAACCGACACAAATACATCGGATTCACAGTGATCAGGCGCGAGATCAGGCGTATCTCGTTCGAAACTAGGAAAAATCGTCGTCGTTCGTCATTACCTTCGGTACTAGTAATAATAGTATAAATGATGATTGGAAAAAAAAAAAGGAAAAAAATCTTGAGACCCGTTTTACGCCCGAGCTTCTCTTATGCGCGCAACATGTTATAATGTAATAGGTGCACGTATGAACATTGATACTTCCTCGTCGTACAAACGAGTTGACCATGAAACACTGACTAACACTTCGGTATATACTCGGGTCCTAGCAGTGGGATGGTGTAATTTGTCGAGGTTGTGCACGCGTCGTTTTTGATACACGCGCGAATACTCCTTACCTCTTTTCTGCAGATTGCAAGAGCCGATTATTTATTTGTGCTGCAGTTAACGCGGTGAAAAATCATCACACTTTCCCACCCTATGTTAATAATGAAACCGCGCGATTACTGTCGATAATAATTTAGACATCGTAGATATTTCATCCGACGTGCAATTATTGCAGTAGAGCGTGTTACGTGATTCTGTACGTCACATCTCGGAACAATTTTTTTTGCCTTTTTTTGTTTTTATTACTTATTAAATTAAATCTACCAAATCCAACCTTGAATTAACAAATGATATCAAATGTTTCACAAAAACCTCATACGAATCATTACTGCTGGACGATTTTTTTTTGTTCACTACTCCTTCTACAAAATAGTGTAATTCCTATTTATAAAATACTCTGGTATTTCATTATCTCTGATGCTATTCGTTCGAAAGATAAGGTGCGATTACACGGAAGTTGCTGCACTCGTGGCTTATTCCGAACAAACTTTTATACAATGTTTCAATGTTTCACACCGAGCCGAAAAGTTACTCGAACGTAAAAAAAAAAAAAAAAAAAAAAATGAAAAATGAAAAAAGAAAAAAGAATACATTACCTGTCGGGGAACCCACAAACTCGTCGAGAGCGTCAAGTCGAAAGATCGCGATTGTACGATGGATATTTTTTTCCAAATAAAAACAAATAAAACTTCGGAGGATTGACAGCTGTGTGGTGCAACGATTGAGCCGCCTATGCACGCGCAAGCCTCCTCAGCTTCGCAACCGCGAACAGACTACCACAAGCCTCTCGTCTTCTTCGCGCTTTGCTCTCCGATTGGCTTCCCCTACCACACACCTACATGTCCAGTCGTACAAGACACACTACTCTTCGTATCTCTCTCACTTTTTTTTTTTTTTTTTTTTTTTTTTTTTTTTTTTTTTTTTTTTTTT